AGAGAGAGAGAGAGAGAGAGAGAGAGAGAGAGAGAATCTCATGTAGCCCAGGCTAGCTGAGAACTTGGGATCTGTGGTGGTTTGGACGAAAAACGTCCCTCACAGGCTCAGGTTTTTGAACAACCGCTCCCCCGTTGGTGGTGGTATTTGGGGAGGTTACAGGCAGCCATCGCTGGAGGTGGTCTTTGAGAGTTCCTAGCCTTGCCCCACTCTCAGATCACTCTCTCTGCTTGCTGTTTGCAGTTAAAGATTCTGTCTCTGGACCTCCTGCTCCTAGCACCACGCCTGCGGCTTGCTGTCCTTCCTCTCTGCCATCATGGGCTCGGCCTCTGGAACCATCCGCTAAAGTAAACCCTCTCTTCCTTAAGCTGCTTTTATCACAGCAACAGCAAAGCACCTGCAGCTCCTTCCGGCTCTGCCTCCCCAGTGCTAGGATGTCAAGTGTGAACCGCCACAGTCCATGAGCCCCTGATTTGTGACAAGAACACTGATAATCGGCACTTTCCTGGTCTTTCATTGTTGCTGAGTTGAATGAAGATGTTTTGCATTCAAATGGCAAGCAGGACATGCATACTCACCCACAGGCATTCTGTCCTTCAGCCAAGTGACAGTGGGAGCTGGGGTCCCTGACACATCACAGGCCAGGACTAGGGGCCGCCCAGCTACCTGGCTCACTGTCTCAGTCTCAGGTTTCTCAAATGTGGGGGGCACTGCATGAAAGAAGGCAGGTTTTTGCACTCTTCCCTGCTCCCCAGTTTCTTCCTCTCAGGAAGATTAGGGGTTTCTGTTTTACACTCTGCTTTTGATGGAGGCAAGAGCTGCTTTAGTCACAGATGGGACTAGGAGCCACAGCTGACTATTTCAAAGTATCTACAAAGCAGAGCCCCAGATGACCCATTAGCCTGAAGACAGTAAATACACGGCTCACAGACCAACAATCCTTTGGGGTGTCCGATCTCTTAGATTTCCCTCACCCCAATACCTAGCTGCCAGGCATGTGCCCAGTGCTTAGTCTATACAGCAGATTAGGGCCTACAGTGTGCCCAGTGGGAAGGCCCCGCTTCTGTGTGAAACTGGGCAGACAGAGCAACAGAATTATCCCACCAAGTCCTTCAAAGCATGTCACAGTAAGAGTCCTGTGTTTGTTTGTTTGTTTGTTTGTTTGTTTGTTTGTTTGTTTGTTTGTTTGTTTGTTTGTTTGTTTGTTTGTTTGTTTGTTTGTTTGTTTGTTTGTTTGTTTGTTTGTTTGTTTGTTTGTTTGTTTGTTTGTTTGTTTGTTTGTTTGTTTGTTTGTTTGTTTGTTTGTTTGTTTGTTTGTTTTGGGTTTTTGAGACAAGGTTCTATGTAGCTCAGTCTGGTCTTCCTAAGGATGTTTACATATCTTTAAGTCCCGAATCCCTGCTTCCACCTCCCTCCCATGTAATGGAATTACAGGCATGCACCGGGCCCTGATTCTATGCTATGTCCCCATCTGCCTTCTGGTTTTTAAAATTCCAGATCTTTTACACTTAGCCCTTGTCAATGGGGCCTATTTTCAAGCCCAGCGACTACTTGGGATGACTGACAGAGAGTAGGAAAGGAACTGACAAGGCGAGACAGGGACCTCAGAACAGTGATTCCAAGAGTGTCCCTGCTGGATGCCAGGGATGCCAGGAGAGCCCTGACTCCTCATGATGGCTCACCCTTACCTGGAAGCTGTACATGATGACATAACCAAAATGGAGAAAGAGCTAGACTGACCAGCTAGCTCACCCCTCCCTGTGTCTCACTCAGTTTTTGCATAGTCCTTTAAAAAGGCCCGTACCAGCACCTCAGTGATGCCCTATTTCCTGGGATGAACTCTTACTGCACAGGAGCTTAGCCTCCTTGTCTGTCTGTTTCTCCCACCTGTGAATGTAAAATAAACTCTAAAACTCATCTTCTAGAGTCTGTGAAGTTTGTTCTCTGAATTCATGAGACAAGAACCCTAAAGCTATCAATTTGGAATGGCTCCAGTGGCTGTTAGCTTTTACAGAACTCTAGCTCCCCCAAGATTAAACTCCCGAGAGCCAAGGAAGGCTCTATTCTTACAATATTGGGGTCTAGGCTGAGCCTTACTTTGGATGGCGAGGACGAAGGTCTGGGTGGCCTCTCCAGCTGGGTTGCTGACTTTACAGCTGTACACTCCCTTATCTGATGCCTGGGACAGAAGAGCACATGGAGTTGGTGTGTGGAGCAGAGATTCCCCAGATAGAGTGGCTGTGTCTGGGAAGCCATAGAAGACAGGTCCCGCTGGCCTCTCAGAGTCTTAGGAAGCAGAGACCCTGGAGGTCAAGAGTGCAGACTTGGCCTAGTATGTCCTAGTCTGCCCTTTGCTGTGGGGTTGGAGCTGGGTCAGAAGGTAAGAACCCAGAGGGAACATCCAGGTGAGAGTCACATATTCATTCGACAAACACTTGAGAGCCTGACTTGCACCAGTGAGGAAGGACTCAGACTTGGCCTAGTATGTCCTAGTCTGCCCTTTGCTGTGGGGTTGGAGCTGGGTCAGAAGGTAAGAACCCAGAGGGAACATCCAGGCGAGAGACACATATTCATTCGACAAACACTTGAGAGCCTGACCTGCACCAGTGAGGAAGGACTCAATTCAAGGCTACTGTGAGGCAGACCTGAGCTGGGGCTGGAGTCTAGCTCTCAGTTGCCTCTGGTCTTTGCCAGGTCACTCTCAGGGGGCTATGCATCTACTTGGGTTAAGGAGATGGCACCCTCACATTTTACCAGTGTTTACACTTCACACCTCCTTCCCCAGGCCTTTAGGGACAGGAAGTGCTGTGTCCACTGTTTAGATTGCCCATGGTCACTGACCTGTGAGTCCATGATTTCCAGTTTTTGTCCACCTTGTAGACCCTGAATCCGCCGCTCCAGGGCTAGTGGCTGCTGGTCCTTGAACCAGGTCACAGCTGGCTCTGGGAGTGAGTCTGTCTCACAGCTCAGGACGGCTTTGTCTCCTGCTCTGACCACAACGGCTTCTTGGGGGCTTCCAGGAGTCCGTTTAAAGGTGGGAGGAACTAAGGGCAGAAGAGTCCAGTGAGGCACCATGGCCTTGCCCACATAGCCCCAACACCACCATGGCCCAGGGAGGCCCATGGATCAAATGGCAGGCCTGACCCTATGATGAGTACTGACCCAGGTTTCTGGAGGAAGCTGACCAGAGTTTACTGGTGGCCATGGATGGCCTGGTGCCTAGATGGCAGGAAAGACGCTGACAGCAGACTTTTTTTTTATTTCCTGACTAGACAATGCCCCTGCATGGTGGTCCATCAGCCCCTGACAGTCATGTAGGCACCCACACCCAGCTGTGAGCCCTCAGGGCCTGGCACAGCTATGCATTCACAAATGAATGACCCTGCCCTAGAACTGAAAGGAACCTTTCAGAGAGCCCTGGCTGCTGGCACTGCAGACCAGCTTTCCCCCAGGGAGTTCCAGAGACCCAGAGTGCCGTCACAGGCTACAAGCCAAGAATCTTGGACCTTCCTGGCCTAACTCTTGGGGTTTGTCACGGCTCTACCCCCTCAGCTTGACCACCACTGAAGCTGGCTGTGAGCCACACAGTGGGCCAAGGGCTGTATTTCCTTTCATCCCATCTTCATATGGATTGTCACCTTAAAGACGGGACACCTGGGGCTCAGAGATGGGGAGACACTTAGTCCAAGGTCACAGAGCAAGCCTGCGCATGGTTGCATCAAACCCTGGTGTATCCAGCTCTCAAGACTATAATTTAACCTTCATGCAACTGCTTCTTAAACGGGATCTCGTGAGGGGGGACAAGGGCTTCCCTGGGGGCTCATAGGAAGAGCAGAAGATGGCACATACCCAGAACATCGAGCTGTACAGTCTTCTGGTCTCGGCCTGCAGCATTGAGGGCCTCACATAGGTATGTTCCGGAGTCAGCTGGCTGTACCCGTGCCAGCCGCAGTGTGTGGGTACCTGTGGGACAAGGACCCCTGCACCAGCAGCCACAGGACCCAATCTTCCCACATGTACAGCCCCATCTGAGGTTTGGAACAATATCTTGAACTTCCCACCATAGCCTTCAGCTGGGCACAAAGCCTCAGTTTACCAACCTGGAAGGAAGAAAACCTCTTGTCCCAGGGAGAGAGGCTGGCCATCCTTGTACCATGTGACCTCAGGGCTTGGGTGAGCATGGACTTCACAGGTGAGGGAGACACTGCTGTTGAGGGTGGTGGTGAGCTTGTCAGCGTGCCAGCCTGAGATTTGTGGTGGGACTGGATGAAGGGAGAAATGAGAGGTTGCACTGGGAAACACAGACCACGGGTACTGGGGGAGACATCAAGGAACTGGCCTAAGCTCCCAGAGCCACCTCTGGAGTATCTCCACACAGCCCTCAGAGGGCAAGCTTTACAAGTCAGAGCTACTTTGCACAAGAGCACAGAGTGGCTTGATCAGGGCAGTACAGCCATTCTCCCAGAGCCACACAGCTATTGGCAGCAGAACCCAGATAGCTATTTGGGCTTCAGTTTGTGACTTTGAGGACTTGGCACTGTCCCATCCATACTCAGGGATATAGCTGTCCCCACATCTGGGCTCATGGTGACAGAGGTCAACAGCAGACTTGGGGTGGTAAGACCCTTGGAGTAATTTTACAGTTGTAAAGCCAGGCCAACTCCTTCTGGAAGGAGTCCTTTAGACACATGCCAGGTGCAGAGTGAGTGCTCATTAATGATGCTGTGAGGCCTCAGAAGAGCATCCCCCCAAAGCTGAGGCCTTAGAAGAACACCCCCAAATCTGAGGCCTCAGAAGAACACCCCCCAAAGCTGAGGTCCCAACATCCCCCCAAAGCTGCTCCCAGCCACTTGAGGTTGGTCCAAATGTGATTAAAGTCTCCTAAATGTTTTTTGCCCTGGTATATGGCTGGGGCCAAGCTGGAATCCTTGAACTGAGTGTAGGCGCTTGGATACCCTCCAGGAGAGTCGAGAAACACATAGAAGCCCCTCCTAGCCATCTCACCTTGGACCCTGAGGGTAAAGAGTTTCTCTGCAGAACCTGCCTGGTTCTCTGCCACACACATGTAGCTGGCAGCATCAGCTACCTCCGCAGTGGAAACCTGAGGATACAGAAAGCAGTGCCAAGGCCAAGACTGACAGCTCTGAACGGATCCAGAGATTCCATGCTCATCCCCACACTGACACAAACAGCCATGTGGGCCACAGGCACTCACAGTGACCAGGAGCAGTCCCTCTGAGGCCTGTCCAGGGTTCTGTGTGGTGTTTTGTGGAGAGAGACTGGTGTTTGTTGGTCGTAGCTAACTGGACAAGAAGGCCACGTGGGGGCTGGTCTCAGGAGGGGCCTGTACAGCTATGGTGTATGTCTAGCTCCTGGTGTTCAGGAATGGCATGGAGCTGCCACCCCAGGCCTGGGCTGGCTCTGGGTGTGTCACATGTGCTCCTGCTTTGGCAGGAGTGACTGATATTTGTGAACACTAGGCAACCCTACGTGACCAGCTGGGCTCCTCACAGAGGCAATTTGCTGTGCAGAACACAACCCCATATTCTAATGACCTTTGTAAGGACCAGATGGCACTGTCCCTTAGTTCCCTGTGCCTTTACCCTGAGAGGGGTCTAGTCCTACCTGTAAGACTTGTCCTTCTTCCAGGACCTGCAGTCGTGGGCTGGGGGACACAGGCAGCCCATTCTGGAGCCATGAAAGAGTGGGTGCTGGGTTCCCCAAAGCTGGGCACTGCAGGCTGACAGCACTGCTTGCATTCACAGTCACTTCCTCTACCAGCTCCTGTGTGTCCCCTAGGATCACCGGTGGTGCTGTGTGGGGAGGAGAGGAAAACATAGTTTAGGTATTGGGCTGGGAGAGAACATGGTGAAAACGAGTGAAGCTTTTGGTACCAAATGCTTGCCAGGGGGCCTTGTGCCCTCCTCACTAAATCTCTCAGGCCTGGATGCAGCTAAGAATTCTGGGCTTTGGAGAGGTTACAGTTTGTTCAAAGTCACACAGTAAGAAAGTGACCATTTGCCTGGCTTCAGAGACCAGGCTTGCAATCCTATTACAGAGAGCTAAGGAGAAGAGAGGAACTCAACTCCCCACTCCCCAGGGACCTTCACAAGGAGGTCTCTCTGGGACCAGAGCCTCCCCGTCCCTCCTGACCAGAGCCACTCACTCAGCACCAATAGCTCGTAGTGCAGCCAGTCCTCGCCCACCTCATTGGAAGCCTTGCACGAGTACCTGCCAGCATCCTCTGCCTGCACCAGTGACAGCTGCAGGATTCGGCCTCCTGCAGGGACACAGGACAGGGGCTTGAGCTCAGGGACAAGAGTCCTGAATCCAGAGCAAGGGAGCTGGAGCCCAAGTCACCATCACCCAGCCTTATCTTGGAAGTGAAGAGATTCTGTCCTTGATCAGAGATCAAGGGGAGATCAAGTCCATGTGCAGTTAATGGC